GCTAAGGGGAGGAGTCCCTGGAAGTGGGGAAAGGTTGACAAAGGAGTAGGATCTCTTAGAGACAGGGGGAGTGGTTGGCCCTGGGAAAACTGAGGGACAACAAGTGCCAGCCCCACAGTGGGGATGTGGAGGGTTACGGGAGTTCACTTCTAATAAATGTCATCTGATGAGAACCGGCACCAGTGGGTGGTGTTAGGATAGAAGCGAGCAGAGAAGGTGGAGCCCCATGAGACTGTGGGAAAGGAGCTGACCGAGGTCCTGTGCAAACAGTTTCAGAGCAGCAGTGAGGGGCCTGCTGAGGTTGAAAACCTAAGGGTGTGATGTGATCATTTTCCATCCCTTCAAGACTTGCTACTCTAGACATATGAGGGGAGGAGGCTCACCATTGAGCATGGGATGCTGGGGTGATGAACCATTCTGCTTTTCCTAGGATCGAGGAATTTTCTGCAACACAGAACTTTTAGTGCTAAAACTGGAAAGTTCTGGCAAATCAGGACCAACTGGTCACTCAAAGTGTTTTAGAGCTGGTGGTCAGGAGGCCAAACGGCAAGAGATTTGAGGGTGCTAGCTGGGGAGAGTTTGTAGCTTATGCTTTTAGTCCAGTCTGGGGAGAAAGGGAAATGAGGCTGTTACTTCGTAGTAATTTGTGAAAATTCATTCATTCATTCAACAAACATTAATTGAGTGCCTACTGTGAGTCAGGTACTGGGATCCATGCAGAGGATTTAACCAAAAAGAAGATATAAATGCCTTCATGGACTATCCTTCTGTGGTGGCTAATGTCAGTTGGTCCTCAGAACCCATTCTCACCTCTGTACAGACTGCATTTCCCCAGCTTCTTTACAAGGAGGATGAATTTAGTTCTATCAAGTATGTGCATTCAGGCAAGATTTATAAACAGAAGTGAGGCAGAAGCCAGTAGCTGGTTGCATTTCTTAGTTTCTCTGGTGATGACTTGGGGATTTGGGCAGTAGTGTTTTGGTGTCCAATCACCAGGTTTGGAGTTGTTGGGGGCGGGTTTGGTGGTGGTGGGCTGGCTTTTGAGTTACCACAGGTGTTCTTTAAAAAAAATAATAATAATAACCTTCTTTTTAAAATGTTTTTATTGATTTTAGAGGAAGTGAGAGAGAGAAACATCATTGTAAGTGAAACATTGATTGATGGCCTCCTGCATGCCCCACACTAGGGATCAGGCCTGCAACACAAGCATGTGCCCTGCCCAGAAATCCAACTTGAAACTTTTTGGTGCCTGGGAAATTCTCAACCAACTGAGCCACACTGCAGGTGTTCTTGAGCTCAACTCTCAGTGGCAACCTCCTGATTCCCTACTGTCTTGGTTGAGACCTGGTTTTTCTGGGAGTCCCGGGAATCTTTCTCAGGAGCCCAACCAAGAGCGCCTTTCTCCAGCCCTTGCAGCAGTTTTGTAAACACCCGTATTAAATGTATTTCTACTGCCCTGGACAGTTTTGCTCAGCGGTTAGAGCATTGGCCTGTGGACCAAAGAGTCGTGGGTTAGATTCTAGTCAAGGGCACGTACCTCAGTTGCGGTTCGTCCCCAGCCCTGGTTGGAGTCGTGCAGGTGGCAACCAGTCAATGTATCTCTCTGACATTGATGTTTCTGTCTCATTCCTGCTCTTGTCTGAAGATAAATGTAAAAATATTCTTGGGTGAGAATTAAAAATAATAATAATGAATGTGTTTCTACTGAAAATACCTGGTTTCTGTTTCAAAAACCTAGTACATTTTCTATTAGCCAGTGTTATGAAAATTAACTCTGGTAATTTAGATCAGATTTGTGTAAATGATAATTGAACCTTCCCACGGCTTCCACTAGAGAAATGAAACTGGAACTGGTCATGGGTCTTAAGTATCTAGTTGTGAAGGTCAGGAACAGTTTGTACCAGGGTATGGTGTGGAAAAAAGGGAAGGCATGGTCATTAAATTAAAGTTTGACATGGAGGGGAGGGGGGAAGAAAAGGGGAATTTTAAAAGATTTCTAAAATATACATATAGATGCCAGTTATGTCTGGCTAGAAAAGGCTTAAAATAGTGGCATGAAATTAATATAATGTTAATCAGGAGGACTGGGCATTTAAAAACAGGAAAGAAAAAGAATTGGGCTCACATAGCCTCTCTGTCCCTCACCTGAGTGAAGCGAAGCAAGTGACTTCAGAGGAGGTGAATGGAGTGCTGAGCAGGGCAGCTTGGGCAGGGTGGGGCAGCAAGTGCTGTCCTTTGACCAAACTCAAGTGGACTCTGCCACCCCTTCTCACCCCCTCTGCCAGATCTTTTGAATCATGTTAAGTAAAATCTGATCTGTTCTTTTTGAGGATAACTTTGGGATGCCTCTAGGCTTTCTTGTTCTTAGGTTTATCTGTATACACCAAGGAAGCTCTAAAAGCATTTTGAAGGCTGTGAGATAAGAATATGAAAGAGAAAGAAATTAATTTTTCATTTGAAAAACCTATAAGGTTTCCTTTTGGCTTGCTACTGTTTCCTAATTTTATTGTACTGTGGTCAGAGAATATGGTATGAGGTATATTTATTTTAGTATCTGTATACCTATTGCCCAGCTTATGAAGCAAAATATTACACATTCAGTCATTTCCCCTCTGTATTTTTATCTAGTCACATTCTATTCATCCTGTAATGGAAAACAATTCAGTATGTATTATTACTGTGTATGTTTTAATATTTTCACCACACACCACTCCCTAAACAATAAAGAGTGGGGCAAAAGTAGATTTACAGTTGTGGGTATGTGAAACAGAGTTTATTCTTGTATTATTATTTATTAATTATTGTATTATTTTCCATAGGAACAACTATAAACCTACTTTTACCCCACCCTGTACGGTATTATTTTTAAAAAAACATTTAGGGTTTTAATGTATGCTTTAGCAATTTGTTTTTTGCCTAGGAAAAAATATTTGTTTTGAGTTGCTTTTTCTTTGTGAGATTCATGTAGTTATAGTTCATTTCCAGGACCATATGGTATTTCATTAAAGGACCATAACTGTAATTTAATCTCTTCTTGTTAGACTTTTAGATGGTTGCCATTTTTGCTATAACATCCATTGCTTAGGAACATTGTGTACATTTTGGTATGCTTGTCTGAGTTTTTTTTAAGAATATTTACTTAGGAATGATACTTTCATGTCATGTAGTAATGTATGTTTTTATCTTTACCAGATATTGCCAAATTGTACTTCAAACTGGCTGTCCCAATTAATAATTTCTCTAGCAATGTATAAGATTTTTTTTTCTATGACATTTGGTAACAGATATTAACATTTGACCAATGTGAAATAATGTCTCATTTTAGTTTACATTTGAATTTCTCTACTATTGTGGCTTGACCATATTTTTTTTTTTTTTTTTTTTTTTTTTTTAATCCTCACCTGAGGATATTTTCCATTTTTTTGTACAGATAGAGTGGGAGGGAGAGAGAGAGGAAGGGAGAGAGAGAGAAACATCGACGTGAAGGGACACATCGAATGGCTGCCACCCGCACAACCAACCAGGGCCGGGGACAAACTGCAACCGAGGTACGTGCCCTTAGCGGGAACCGAACCCGGGTCTCTCCAGACCGCAGGCCGACGCTCTAACCGCTGAGCCAAACCGGCCAGGGCTTGACCATATTTTTATATGATTAGTGGCTATTTGGATTTTTTTCTTCAGAGAACTGCCTGTTGCCTACTTTCCCCTTGAGTTGTCTGTCTTATACTTATTGATTTGCAGAGATGCTTTCTCTATTCTGGATACTAATTATTTGTTAATTAAATATGATGCATTTGCCTTCTCAATCTGTGCTTTATCGTTTTTCATTTTAAAAAGGATATGTGCTGTTTATGTCTTATGAAATCTTTTTGTAATTGTGGTTATAATAATATTCTTGTAGGTTTTCTTTTAGAATTTTATGTCCTAGACTTCGGTACCTGTGGAATTAACTTGTATATGGTATGAGAAAAGGATCCCAGTTTATTCCCTATATATATGGATAACCAGTTGTCCTAGCACCATTTCTGGAGGTTAATGTCCTTTCCCTGTTGATTTACAGAGCCACCTCAGCCATCTGTGTGTAGATTGATTTCTGAGCTTATAGCTGCATGTTGTTTTGTTTTATTATCTATCCCTGTGCCATATTACTGTACTTTGTGTAACATCTTGTTATCTAAATGCAACTTCCTTCAGTTGGTTGTGCTCTTTAAAAATTGTATTGACTCATCTTGGCCCTTCTCCTCTTACATAAATTTAAGGTCATCTCGCCATGGGTACATGGAAAATGCGGGGGGCGAGGGGTGTTTGATTGGGCTTAACATTGAATTTATAAATTAATTTGAGAACTGACATCTTTATGATATTGAGTCTTCTGGCCACATTTATAGTGCATTTCTTTAATGATCTCTGTCTCAACTTAAATCTTCAATAATGTTTTATAACTTTGGCTTTAAGTGTCTTGTATATCTTTTGTTAGATTTATTCTGTGTAACCTTATAGATTTCATTGCTATTGTAAGAAGTATCTTTGAAATTTACATTTTCTTCCTGTTTATTGCTAATCTACAGAAATGTAATTGACTTATTTATTGATCAATTTATTTATTTATTTTTAACTTAAATTGCTTTATTTTAAAGTTATCTGAATATATGAAAACATAAAAATTGTTATAAATTTCTTGTGCTTATAGCTGTTATCCAACAATAAATGAGATGTAAAGTTTATGTTTAGTTTCTTAAAAATAAAAAATATTTAGATTACAGTTGATGTACAATATTATATTAGTTTCAGATGTACAACCCTGTGATTAGACATTTATATAACTTACAAAGTGATCACCTTGATAAATCTAGTACTCATCTGATACCATATATAGTTGATCAGTTTATTTATTAATTCTAGGATTTTGTCCACATACTTGGCTTTCTTTTGTAGAAAATCTTATTGTGAACAGTATTTCTTTGGTTCCAATTGTTATACTCTATTTTTGTTTTTTTAAGACCAGGTCCTGGGACATGAAGTCTAAATGACCAGCAGCAGTGCCAGGTGGGAAAGCCAACATGTACACTGCCCCAGACTTGATGGCTTTTAAAATAAAATAAAAATGTTTTTATTGATTTTTTTTTTTTTTTTTTTTTTTAGAGAGAGAGGAAGGGAGAGAGAGATAGAAACACTGATGTGAGAGAGAAACATTGCTCTGCTGCCTCCTGCATGCCCCCTACTGGGGACTGAGGCTGAAACCCAGGCATGTGCCCTCTCAGTCCATGGGATGATGCTCAATCCACTGAGCCACACTGGCCAGGCTTGATGGCTTTATTTATTTTTATTCCTCACCCGAGGATATTTTTCTGTTTATCATCAGATAGAGTGGGAGGGAGGGAGAGAGAGAGAGAGACAGAAAGAAACATCAATGTGATAGAGCCACATCGAATGGTTGCCTCCCACATGACCTGACCAGGGCCGGGGACAACTGCAACTGAGGTACGTGCCCTTGATCAGAATCAAGCCTGCAACTCATTGCTCCAAGGGTCGATGCTCTCACTGCTGAGCCAAACCAACCAAGGTGGCTTGATGGCTTAAAAAAAAATTTTATTTTTTATTGATTTTAGGGAGAGAGAGAAACATCAGTGTAAGAGCCAAACACCAATCAGCTGCCTCCCGAATGCCCTCTTCTGGCATGGGATTGGCATAGACACATCAATACTTATTAACAAGTATACATTAGCTAAAATGTGGATTTGTATTAAGAGCACATCCATTTAGACTGGTAGTGGGAGGCCAGTATGAAAGGTTTGAATGAATGAATGATCTATTTTAAAGTAAAATATTAAAACTTTTAAAGAAATAAAATAACACAGATATTACATGATCTCACTTATACGTGGAATCTAATGAACAAAATAAACCGACGAATAAATGGATCCAGACTGACAAATTTCAGAGGGAAGGGGGGAGAAGGGGCAGGAAGAGATTGACCAAAGAACATAGAAATCTATGCAATGCTGGTGGACACAGACAATAGGGTAGTGAAGGCCTGGGTCAGAGTGGGAACTGGGTGGAAGGGGGCAAAGGGAGAAGAATGGGAGGACATCTATCATACTCTCCACAATAAAGATTAAAATAAAAGAAAAAGCACCACAAAAAATGTAATTTTACTACTTTCAAACTCATTAATATTTTCATTGATAGGTAGCTCTGGAACTCTAGGAAAACGGTGCTCCCTCAAAGAGTCTGTTTTGTTTTTCTTCTGTTTGACAGCAAGAACTATATATTTAATGTCCCATGTACCCCTTTTTGCTTTGACTGCCAGGAAGCTCAGGGACAAATTTACAGCCTGTTAAAATCTGTTTAGGCCATTCAACCAGTGTGGTTCAGTGGTTGAGCGTTGACCCATGCACCAAGAGGTCGCTAATTCGATTCCCGGTCAGGACACATGACCTGATTGTGGGCCCGATCCCCAGTGGGGTGCATACAGGAGGTGGCCAATCGATGTTCTCTCTTATCGATGTTTCTGTCTCTCTCTCCCTCTCCCTTCCTCTGTCTCTAAAATCAATAAAGGAAAAATAAATAAATAAATACATACATACATACATAAATTTAAAAAATCTGTTTAGGCCTTTCTGGCTCGTATATTTTCATTGTATTCTCTACCACTCCAACCCATTTTGCTTTCCTAACCTAATTTTTTCCCCTTGTTTTCATATAAAAACTTTTTTTTTACTTATGTATTTTTATTTAAGATGCCTCGAATCTTTTGTGGACTGAGATTATGAATAAACAAAATATATTTATTTTTGTTTTGTTTTTTAAAATGTATTTATTTTTAATTAATTAATTTATTTTTGTTACAGATGTTTCTCCTTTTTACCCCTTTGACACCCTCCTCCCCCTCCCACCCCACCCTGTCCCCAGCTAAACAAAATATATTTATAAATAAATAAAACAGATTCAGTGTTCCTTTCACTAAATATAGCTAGATAATTATGTAAATATAGTTGGTATGCAGATATGTAGCAACAGTTAGAAACTTGCAGTTGTGTTATGTTTCCAGTTATTCATTTGCTGTGATTAGCTTTTAACCCGAAATATTCTCTGATAGAAACAGACGAGGTACTCTTCCAGAACAAAAAAGCTTTTTAATGTAAAACATAGCAATGAAACTTTAGAGTAGATAGTGACTGCCATTTGCAGCAAATTTGGAAAGAAAATAGGTTGTGTTCCAATGAAAGAAGTTAAGAATATGCCCAGGGTATGACCTCCTCACTGCTTCCACCTAGATCCCAGGACTGGGATCTTTCCCCAGATCTTCTGTTCCACTTCTACCTTCCAGTGATACCATCAGGAACTCTAGTGATAATTGCTGCCCTGCAGCAGTGTATTGAGAGTCAGGGTTCCTCTGGCACTTTCAGGAGGGAAATGGGGGTTCCTGGTCTGAAGAGGTGATCAGAACTCACAAAGTTTAGCTGTGGTGGCAGGTCCTACAAGCATGCATGATGAGCTGTGAAAAGGGGAGGGGACTTTGGGAGGATAGCAGTGAAGGTTTCTGCTTACTAGTAGAAAGAAGGACTTTATAGTAGGAGAACAACTGGAAAAAAAGCAATGGAGTAGGAACAGATGCCTCTTTCATCCATCATTTTTGATACCCACACAGACCTTTTGCCAAGACCCATATTTGTGTATGCCTACCTGGGCGAGGTCACTGAAAGAGGGAGTCAACTCTTGTGATGCCAGTTTCTTTTGTCCATTCAGCACCTAGTCATTGGGTTTTCCTTCCTCTTCCAGTATAGGTCATCCATTTGCCACTTAGTCATTAACTCGTGTGATTTCCCCTTTATACCACACCATTCATTCTAAAAACTTCTCATGAAGCATGTGGGGTTTTTGTTTCTGTTTTTTTTTTTTTTTTAATTTGTCTCTGTTTTTTTTTCCTTTAAAATGTAAGTTATTTGTTTTGTCTGACCTGGTTTTGGATCAGTTGCTTTGTCTACTGAGGATCGCTTTTTGTAGACTTATCAATATGAATTTAATCTTCTGGGTTCGAGAGGCCAACAGGAAAGGAAGAACCTATATTTTGAATTTTAGGCATCAGTTACATTGATAAAAGGATTGAAAAAAATTCCCTTTTAACCACAGAACGCCTCCATTGGAAAGGATTCTGAAAGAAATGAAGAAAACCGTCAGAAATGAAATCAGTAGCCTCGTGGCCTTCTGTTGACTGGACTGGAGTCTTATTACTGCAGCTTCTTGCAACGACACTTTACATGATGTCTGCTGAGGTCATCCATCATATTGAAGAGGCACTTGATGAAGATGAGAAGAAGATGCTTCTTTTTCTGTGTCGGGATGTTGCTGCAGATGTGTCTCCACTTAATGTCAGGGACCTTTTAGATAATTTGAGTGAGAGAGGAAAGCTGTCTGCCATGGGCCTGGCTGAGCTGCTCTACAGAGTCAGGCGGTTTGATTTGCTCAAGCGGATCTTGAAGATGGACAAAATGACAGTAGAGGCCCACCTGCTCAGGCACCCTCATCTTATTTCAGACTACAGGTAATCCCTGAGGCTGGGAGGGAATGAGGCAGTCTAGACTTCTGAATGAGAGAAACAAGGACAGTAAGAAAAGCAGCCTCATTACTTTCTCTGCTCACTGGTCCAACTGCTGTATAATGTTACTTCATTCCTTTAAACTCTTTGAATTTTTATTTTTTATCCTCACCAAAGGTTATTTTTCCATTTATCTTCAGACAGAGTGGAAGGGAGGGGGAGAGAGAGACATCGATGTGAGAGAGACACATCTACTGGTTGCCTCCTGCACGACCCCAACTAAGGCTGGGGACAAATTACAACTGAGGTACATGCCCTTGACTGGAATTGAACCTGCAACTCATTGGTCTGCGGCCAGTGCTTCAACAGCTGAGCCAAACCAGCCAGGGCTAAACTCTGAATTTTTAGATTGTGTTTGCTTTAAAGTAATTGGGTAGTAGATCATAGTGAAAGTGGAAGGAATGGATAGTATGTGTCTGCCTGATGGATAGAGCAAGAGAGATAGGCATGATTAAGACCTAGTAATTCTTGTTTTTTAATTTATTGATTTTAGAGAAAGAGAGAGAAGCATTGCTTTGTCATTTCACTTACTTATGCATTCATTGGTTGATTCTTGTACGTGCCCTGACCAGGGATCAAACCTGAGACCTTGGAGTATCAGGATCACACTCTAACCCACTGAGCTTCCCATAGGACTGAGACCTAGTAATTCTTGTCAGCCTCTGTGAGGTCGGCAGTGGTGTTTGTTAGCTTGATTTTCTATGATGTCAGACCTGGCAATTTTCCGTACCGAGAAAGGAAATAATAAGTCTGATAGTGATCTTCCTGATCTTTGTAGAACTCTGATCCCTCCTGAATCTCCGCTGGTTGGTCTTTCCTCTGCCGCAGAAGGAAGTTAGTGGGTTGGGTTTCCTTTCTGTGAGTTCCTGTGAGGTCCTTGCTTCCAGAGGCTCTGGGGAACCCAGATTAAACAGGTGTTCAGTTAATCACCTCAGTCCCCTTCAGTTGAGAGAGGAACGTTCACTGGAGTTCCCTTTAACTCACATAGACTTTTAAGTTTTCTTCCTTCTTTTCACACAGTACTCTCATGGAGGTTCTGGGGTACACAGAAGTAACCAGAAAGGCTGTTTCTGGGGAAATGAAGAGAACTTGTAACTTTAAATTAGTGGTTCTTTTTTCTCCAGACCACCAGCCTTTAGTTATATCAATAATGTACATTTGGAGATGATGTGTATTATTAAAAACTATATTCAAGAGAGTTGAAAGCAGTGTGGGCTTTGGAAAGTGTCTGAGACTTGAGATCTGAAGGCCTGATTCAAGTCAGTATCAGGCCTCGTATGCTGAGCCAGCCACTAACGTTGGTTGGGTCTTCTTTTTCCTACTTGTAAACTAAGAATAATATAATACCTAATTTCACAAGTTTGTTTGTGAGGCTCAATTGTGATCATTTAGCATGTGAAGTATCTTTTAAAACCATGAAACATGCCCTGGTTAGTTTGGCTCAGTGGTACAGTGTCGACCCGTGGACCAATGAGTCTCGGGTTCGATTTTGGCCAAGGGCACATACTTCAGTTGCAGTTTGTCTCCAGCCGTGGTTTGGGTCATGCAGGAGGCAATCAGTCAATGTGTCCCTCTCACATCGATGTTTCTCTCTCTCTCCCTTTCTTTCCCTCTCTCCCTCCCACTCTATGTGAAGATAAATAGAAAAATAACCTCAGGTGAGGATTAAATAAATAAATAAATAAAACTGTGAAGCACTCTGTAAATGTAATTGTTGTTGTTGTTATTCTTGATCATCTTCCACCTCTCCAACCATCATATAATATCAATAATCTTAAAACTTTTGGGGAGCCCTGGCCAGTTTGGCTCAGCGGTTAGAGCGTCGGCCTGCGGTCCGGAGAGACCCGGGTTCGGTTCCCGCTGAGGGCACGTGCTTCGGTTGCAGTTTGTCCCCGGCCCTGGTTGGTCGTGCGGGTGGCAGCCACTCGATGTGTCCCTTCACGTCGATGTTTCTCTCTCTCCCTTCCTCTCTCTCCCTCCCACTCTGTCTGTACAAAAAATGGAAAAATATCCTCGGGTGAGGATAAAAAAAAAAACAAAACTTTTGGGGAGGCACCAACTTGGTTTTGTGAATAAGTTAGGGGTCACTCTATCCAATTCCTGTTTCCTGTCTATGGTGAGTGGAGGCAGTTTCTCAGAGCCTCTGGGCAGAAAGGTCAGGCAATGGAGAGAGTGCTAGATTCATTTCTTAAGAAGGCTTTTTTGGTCGGTTGACATATGCCAGCCAGGTATTTGGGAAGTGCTAGAGCAAAATAAATGAAGAATCTTCCATCCTCAAGACTCTGAGAGTCCAATTGGGAAAACAGCCCTCTAAGTAGTGATGACAATTTCAAGGTAATAATGCTAACCATGAGATGTCCCAGCAGCCCCGAAAAAGTGTGATGGTAGCTCTTACTGGAGCAGAGGTGATTGACTGAGTCAGGATGGGCTTTGTAGACCAAGACATCTGCAGTCACAATCCCCAGGCTCTGTATGCCTTTTGCCCTTGGAGTTCCAGAGTGGGCTGGGATATCCCAGGTGTTACTTTGCTTTAGATTCTTGTGACTCAAAGTATGGTCCCTGGATTAGCATGAGCATCATCTGGGAGTTTGTTAAACAGAGAAGACAAGATCATTTTCAATTCTATTTCTGTCTTCATCTGAGTCATTCAGGTTCTTTATTTATTCATAACTTCTGGGGGAGCTAGGGGATTCTTTAGGGAATTTTTTATTCTCTGAGTTGTTTTCAGAGCAGTTAGTTGGAAAGACGGATACTATCTTCTACTGAAAATGGGAAAAGATGGGTTTTCTATTTGAGCTCCCTTAAGATCTCTTTCTGGGATGATCTAGGCTTTCTGTCTTATGGGTGGCATGTTCAAATGGGAACAAGAACTAGTCTTTTAACCAATTATTGGCATAGAGGAGGCATAACCTCTTGGTGTTCTCACTGGGATTGGTATCTGAATTTACTAAAGAAACTTGTCTGTTTTACAGGGTACTGATGACTGAGATTGGTGAAGATTTGGATAAATCTGACATGTCCTCATTAATATTTCTCATGAGAGATTATATGGGTCGAGGCAAGACAGTCAAGGATAAGGTGAGTTTTCTGTTTCTTCTTTTTTTTTTTTTTATCCTCATCCAAGGACACTTATGCATTTATCCTTAGATAGAGCAGGAGGGAGGGAGGGAGGAAGAGAGAGAGAGAAAGAGAAACATTGACATGAGAGAGACACACTGAGTGGTTGCCACCCACACGACCCCAACCAGGGTCAGGGACAAACTGCAACCGAGGTACATGCCCTTAGTGGGAACCAAATCCGGGACTCTCTAGTCCGCGGGCCAACGCTCTAACCACTGAGCCAAACCAGCCAGGGCAAGTTTTCTTTTTCTTGGTTCATGTTTCCAAGGGCCTATCAGAAGTTGGAGGATACTTTCTATGGCAGGAAGAGAGGGAAGCAGGCATCTGAGCAGGGAGGCCCGAGCTGGGGGTGAAGGAAGGCAGAAAGTGAGAAGAGTATTTTGTTTTGTGTGGTTTTATAATAACATTGATGGTAAGAAAATAGGCTTATGACTTGAGAGGAAGCAGGGTGATATCTACTGGTGTGGCCCTGGGTATTTCTCTCATCCTTGTATTTTATGCTTTATTTGTGTTAAATGCATAGGCCTGGCTTGTTTTTGTTTTATCCTCACCCGAGGACATTTTTGCATTTATCTTCAGATAGAGCGGAAGGGAGAGAGGAAGGAAGAAAGAGAGAAACATCGATGTGAGAGAGACACACTGAGTGGTTGCCACCCACATGACCCCAACTGGGGCTGGGGACACACTGCAACCAAGGTACATGCCCTTAGAGGGAACTGAGCCCAGGTCTACTCTGGTTCACGGGCCAACCAACGCTCTAACCGCTGAGCAAAACCGGCCAGGGCAGGCCTGACTTGTTTATACATCAGTTTTCCTCCCTGATTTGACAGATCACCTGGGAAAGTTAGGAAATTTCATCTGCTCATGCTGAGTAGAAACAGGTGGGAAGTGCTAATCTACTCTCATCTTGCCTCCTACTTGTCTTTCTTCTAAGTTAGCTCAAGGTCAGTGTGGACTCATTAGGCTGCATGTGGAGCTACGTCCTTGTGACTGATATATTCAGGGAATCACAAAAGTAGAGATTTGGGGTTGAAAACTAGGTAGAGGTGAAGATCTCAGGGATGTTGTGATTGCTGGAAAAGTATTTCAATTTCAGCTGGCCCTATAAGGTACTGCTGACCTAAGGACAGGCTGGGAAGAGCTCAGGTCTCGAGTATGTGACAGTGTATCAATAGAGCACCTGCCTCTGAGCAGTGTGGTAAATCATTGCTTGAGTATGTCTTCATGTTTCTCAATGATTGTAGCTTCTGAAATCTGGGAAAACAGGGTGACCGTATGACCCCACAATCAAATGAAAAATGAGAAGGAAAATGAAACAAATTGAACTCCTTTTTTGGTGTCTCCTAATCAACTTAGTCCCCAATCATTTGTATAGATTTAATTATGATTATTATTTTTTAAAGTAAACATAGACTTAGGTAACCAAATGTTAAACTGAAGGGAAGTAAAACAAAAACAATGCCTGTTTCTGCAATATTGTTCTTTCCAGTCTCTGTGACCCAGGGTAAATGAGTAACAAAATGTCCTAACCTTGAAATTTTGCTTTCTTGTATCCCCTGAGTCAGACTGAGTTGGAATGTCCAGCATTGATTAAAATGTTCTGGAGCCTCAAAACTGTATCATTGGGATTTTTCTAGTAAAAACTTTCCCCAAACTACCTTTCTCTTCCTTTTTCAGGAAAGGCCTTAGAATTTGTCAGTAAAACACCAGCCTGAGTTTTTGAAAAAGAAGAATCTCAGAAGGATTTTACTTTAATTTTAGGCCTGCTCTCACCGTACTTCTTGATAACACAAAACGACCCATGTGTCCATCCCCAACCTAGCTATAGGTTGGCCACCAAAAGACATACCTCTTTGTTGGGTATAATTCAGGAGTGTAAATTGTACCTGGTGGTGGAAGAACTATCAAACAGAGAGGTCTGGTTTAGCATCGCTAAATCTGTAGGTGCTCCACTTGCCACCTTTTCTTGCTGTTATAAACCACAGCCCGAGTTTTGCATTTGGGAATTAATAGTCAGCACTACTGACATTTATTTTGTGTTGCTGGCTCTATTAGAGCTTCCTGGATCTTGTGATGGAATTGGAGAAGCTAAATCTGGTTGCTCCAGATCAGTTGGACTTATTAGAAAAATGCCTAAAGAACATCCACAGAATAGACCTGAAGACAAAAATTCAGAAATACAAGCAAGCCGGTAAGCAGAATTTTGGCCTCTCAGTGGCCTAAGGAAAGTACCCTGTGCATGGTTGGTTTGAGTGGTAGATACTCACTGTTGGATGGCTGGCTGGAAAGAACCTGAATGTTCATAGCCCCCACTAACCCTATGATTAGAGATCATACCCCTTTATATCCTTCATATTCCAGATCTACTGACTTCACCCCACACCCATGACCAGAGTCCTCACCTTCTCCAAAGTGCCACCTAACAGTTCTTAACACTTCTGCCTTCAAGAAAGAGTTTGCATCCCCATTTTTTTGCACCAGGTGGAGGTGCTGTGGACATTCAGGGCATTTGAGTATGTGCTGAGCCCTGATCACCATCCAACTCTGGGTGGTATACTGTCACTGGGGTCCCATAGCTACCCTGCATGTGTTGTGAGTTTCACAAACTCTTCTTATGAAAAAGAGCATATTTTCTGCTGATAATCTCTTCCTCAGTAAAGTGGACCAGATTCACACTGGCCTTCTCTCACATGCCACGTCTCCATTGTCCTTTAGACTCAGCCTAAGCTTGGGCTCTGTTAGCAGTCTACTGCTGCCAGAGTCACAGCCTGAAGGGCATGGCTGAGACCCAGTGATCTACAATAACACTACCCCTACAGTACCACTATCCCTATTCCTAAATGACTAATAAAAGATCAAGTACAGGAATAGCATTTTTAGTCCATTCTTAGTGCTGCTGTTGGAAAAGTCATCTGATCTGATATTTTGAATTAAGTAAGGTGGTTGGAAAGTTTAGAGTATTTTGAAAGGTGATGATTGACCTTGGCCTGAGCCATTGTTGAAGATTCATTTAATAATAATTGGTAAACCTGAACTCTCTTCTGCTTACAGCTCAAGGTGCAGAAACAGGTTATACAAATGCCTTCCAGGCCTCTTTCCTGAACTTGAGTCTTAAGGATCCTTCATATAGCCTGAGGGTGAGTCTGGAGCAAGTGTGTGGAATCCCAGGATGAAACAGCTTCAGAAATTTAATTATATACATTTTCTGCCAAACCTATGTGGCTCAATGGATTGATCATCGTCCTATGCACCCATTCCATTCCCATTAGGGCACATGCCCTAGAAGGGGGTGTGCGTGAAGCATCGATGATATTCTCACATCCATGTTTTCATCTCTCCCTCTCCCTTTCTTACTTTCTAAAAATATAAATAAAAATATATTTAAAAATATACATATTCTCATAGTATGTGCTTTATTTAATATTGAAAAAATACGTATAACTACTTATGATTACAAAGCTATCACATGTTCATTGAGGTAATTTGGAAAGTACAGAGAAATATAAAAGACATAGAATAGATTGCCTCTATGCTACTACCCACGCTTATTATATTGCTTTCTAGTCTTTTTTCTATGTCTGTTTGGTTGTGTATTACATATACAGTTGAACATGTTTTTCGTTGTTCATTTGTTCTTTTGAAAATTAGCTTTTTATTTATTTATTTATTTTAATCCTCACCCAAGGACATTTTTTCCATTTTTGTTCAGATAGAGTGGGAGGGAGAGAGAGAGAGAGGGGAGAGAAACATTGCTGTGAAAGGGACATATTGAGTAGATGCCTCTCGCACAACCCCAGCTAGGGCTGGGGACGAATTGCAACCGAGGTACATGCCCTTGACCAGAATCAGACCCGCAACTCATTGGTCTACGGGCTGACACTCGAACCACTGAGCCAAACCGGCCAGGGCGAAAATTTAGCTTTTTAAATAAAAATTGGGCAGGACATGCCCATGGACAAAACAAAACAAAACATGGAACTAAAAGACTTTTTAAAGTATATTTCCTCCTAGATGCAGCTGTAATTAATTATATTCTTCTCTAACCATCCAGAGATAGTCTATACACTTACCATATCTCGTTTTTTTTTTCTCTTGTACAAATGCTAGTCCACTATTCCCATTGTCCTGATATGAGAATTGTTGGAAATTATTTCACATGAATTCTGTGAAACTATCTCTACATCACTATTTAATGGTTGCAGGTGTATACCTGCTATATAACAATGTGTTTAGCTTTTTATAGTGTATATGTATATAGATTATTTCTAATCTTTTGTTGCTACAATCGGTGCTTCAAAATAAATACTTTTGTATTTACCTCTCTGGGCATTTGCTTTTTATTGAGCTTGTTTTAATGATGTTACCAAAAGTATTTTTGTTATTGAGAGATGTTATTGATTTGTGAACATAAGTATTACATAGTCACTTCTGATTTTTGTGTAGTTTGATAGTACAAGGTATTTTCAGAATTGTTCTTTGGTTAATTTTTTATCCTGGGAAGTTAATCTTAGTGTAATCTCATTCTTATTCCCATATAAAGGTATGTGGAATTTGTAGTGAGGACTTAGACCACAGTGCAATTTCATGGTTAAATTATAAACACTTATATAAAAGTATGTGATGAAAGCATTAACTATCCTTGTGATATAAATAGTTTTATGGAGAACATGAGCTGTACAAGATATCACTGAGCAATAGAATTTCAGAGCTAAAATGGATGTTAAAGATTATACTGTCCAGCCCTGGCCAGTTTGGCTCAGCAGTTAGAGCGTCGGCCTACGGTCCAGAGAGACCCGGGTTCAGTTCCCACTAAGGGCACGTACCTCGGTTGCAGTTTGTCCCCGGCCCTGGTTGGGTCGTGCGGGTGGCAACCACTTGATGTGTCCCTTTCACGTTGATGCTTTTCTCTCTCTCTCCCTCCCACTCTATCTGAACAAAAAATGGAAAAATGTTCTCAGGTGAGGATAAAAAAAAAAGGATTATACTGTCCAGCCTCTTCACTGAACAAATAAGAAAACATAGTCCTAAAGAACGTTAAGTGATGACCCACCTCCAACTATCACCAGAACTGGGCCCAGTCCCTGCTTCTTCCTCTGTAGCTATACCATGATATATTTAATAAACTACATACTGCACATGTCTTCACTAGATATATGTCATTTTTCAAGAATTAGTTATGCATTCTTTTGTCTTTCTGTATCTCTGTCATACTATATCAGATAAAACTGATTTAGGATGCAGATCCAAATTTTCTGAGCTTTCTCTGCTATTGTCTCTCTAATAGGAATTATGCTACCATTCTTAGTTAAAAGCCTGCCATATTTTTACTACTGCCTTTGTTAATGAAAGTAATTGTATTGTCTATGTAGCCTATTGAGAACTTACATGCTCTGTGTGTAAACTTCTTAAATTTGCTCTATTAATCTGTTATCTTGATTATTCATTTATTTAGGAAGCAGGCACTATAGCATATAAATTCATTGAATTTAGGAGCTGAATACCTGGATATTAACTCCTACACAAGGTTGCAAAAGTGCTTTAAAGTTATAGTGGCATTAAATGATGCATGATACCAACATATTGTAGAATAAAAAAGTTTATGACTGCAATATCATGCTTTTTATTTTCTTTCATTTATCTTTTTTGCAATATGCTTTTTAAAAATGTGTTTTTTTAAAAAAATTGATTTTAGAGAGAGAGGGAGAAGGAGAGAGGGAAAGAGAAACATCAGTCAGCTACCTCCCATATGCACCCCGGCCAGGGATCGAACCCACAACCTAGGCATGTGTCCTGACTGGGAGTCGAACTGGCAACCTTTTGGTGTACAGAACAACATTCAACCATATGAGCCATACTGGAAAGGGCTCAATATAATGCTTTCAAAATCTAGCTTTGATTTAATGTTATATATCTATAATAGTATGTAAAAGTGAATGCATATTCATGTGGGGCTTGAACTTCTATTTAATATCACCAACCTATGGCTAAGTCACTGGTTATTAGGGATAAAAGCAAGTTACATGTTTTCCTTTAATTTAGACACACAGACTTAGCTGAAGACACAGCTTAATAAACAGTCTAATTCTCTCTTTTGGCTAGGATAGCTTCAGAGGAGAACTGTCATTTGAAAGCTGAGAGATCAGATGGATGACAGTATGTGGTATGTGTACCTTACACAGCACCTGTCATCTGAGAAGAGAAAGGGTCGGTTCAATTTTTCATTCTCTGATTAATTTCACTGTAGTTCTCATAAGTGGTAACTATTATCAAGGATCAAGCCCACATGTGGCTTATGTATAGCTAGGCAATTATAGAAAAATAATAACTGGACATTTATTAAGCACTTCCCACATGCTAGGCACTGTCCTGAGTGCTTTGTATACATTTAACCTTTACAAAAAATTTATAAGGTAGGTACTATTATTGTCTTCATTTTGAAGATAAAGAAACAGAAATGTCGAGGTTAAATAACTTGCTTGAGGTTACAAAGCGAGTAAGTAGCAGAATCAAGGTTTACAGTGAGGTTTATTTGGGCTTGAACTCCCACTCTTAACCATACACACATTGCCTCTGTGTTAAAGGGTCAGGCTGAAGGTAAATTGCAGGTTTGAACAGCCTGTTCTGTGTTAGAGCTCTTACAGCAGCTCTACTGTACCATAACAGCTGACTTTATTGAGCCGTTTTGAAACATTCTGGTATGCTAGTATAGCATATTTACACGTTAATTGTATTTTCACTCCTTTTTTTTTTTTTATCATCACCTGAGGACATTTTTGCATTTATCTTCAGATAGAGCAGGAGAGAGGGAGGAAGAAAGAGGGAAACATCAATCTGAGAGAGACACATCAAGTGGTCGCCACCCACACAACCCCAACGAGGTATGTGCCCTTAGCGGGAACCAAACCCGGGATTCTCTGGTCCACGGGCAGACACTCCAACCACTGAGCAAAACCGGCCAGGGCATATTTTCAGTCCTTAAAAAGAAGAGATGCCTTGATCTTTGGCTACAAGATATAGGATTCTCGGAGTTAATGGTTCTTGCTATTCTTTAGATAATTTAAAAGTGAATGATATTTTAATTTTTTCCCGGGTAAAAATCCTACTGAGATATTTAAAGAGGTATAACATAATGTGACCCTGAAAAAACTTACAGGGATTGTGACCTTATTCTTTATATTTGAAGCTTCAGAACGGGAGAAATAAAGAAAGAAGACTCACGGTGAAACAACTTGACAGTCACAGTAAGACTAACTTTTCTTTTTTCCAGTTCTTAAAAACATTTTTTTCTTTATTGTTGACAGTATTACAGATATCCCTCCTTTTTCCTCCCCATTGACACCCTCTTCCCTGCTCCCACCCCCAAGACTAACTTTTCTTTATATTCGTTCTTTATAAATGCTTGATAATTCCAGTACAAATGTTTTATTTTTTAGAGTTGGCCATTTTCTTTATCTACACATTCTAATTAAAGCTCTCAAAATAAAAAGCAGTTAAACTCTTAAAATGTTTTTATTGGCATTTCTAGGTATTTACTGAATGCACTTACTTGAATTTAAACATCTCTTACTCTATCAGCTTCATCATCTTTGCTATATATTTTTGAGATGTGATATTTCTACCTGAAATGGAACACTAACCAGGCCATGTTAAACATTAATCTAGCCATGATAATGAGCCATGTTAAACCAAATATTCAGCAAAAGGAAGAAGAAAGGTTATTAAGATCTTGTTTTATAGTTCATTTAATAAGTATAAGTACTCTGTAGATGACATCCCGTTTCCCAAAAAAGAAAGAAAAAATACAATAAAAAACTGGTCATTTTAACCTGTACGATCTCTCTAACATCAGCACTCAATCCCATCTTTTAAAAAAAGTATATTTCTTTCGCTTGTCTTGAGTCCTCCTCGAGTGAGGGCTGAGACCCAGTCCCACTGCAGGGGGGATGGCTGTGCTTCAGAACTGCTGGAGGAAGCAGGGACTGAGAGGCAGGTGTGGAGGGCTCAGTCTTCCCTGAGGAGCTTGGACTTTGTCCTGTGTGCAGTGGAGATCGTCAAGATTGTAGTAGGACAGTGGCCTAATGGAAGCTGTCTTTGTGTGGCCGCCCATATGCTGCCTGTGTGCACCTGGAAACTAACTGAAAAGTATTTTGCTCAGATTAGCCAGATGGTGAAGCTCATGCCTGTCATTTCCTACCTAAAATGCCGCTCTCCAGGAAAAGCTACCGAGGAGCAAATTAATATCTGAAGTGACAGCATTTCTTAAAACACTGGTGAGGTGGTAAGAATTAGCATTCTGAAACTGTTTAAAGTGAAATAGGAGACCTGGTAGATTTGGAGAGGAATTAAAAACAATCCATATTCTTTCCGCTGTGCTCCCTAATGGCAGGTTTATCCTTACTGGAATTATACAGGTGAAGTAAGTGAAGCTCCCCACACCCCTGACAATCCTTAGGAGAGCTAGTTAACTGCTTTGGCCTGGACATGTTTTATTGGCTAATAAAAAAAGAAAGCATTCTGATAACTTGGCCTTAATCTAATAGAAGTTTAAAATAATCCAACCAAGTATTCATATTAATTTGGATTTCTAAATAGATTTCATCTGAATGATGACGATGATAACTATAATTTAAGTTCTTACTAAATACCTTATACCGAGAGACATTACATAGATTAATTTGTGATTTTTAAAATTCTGTTAATCCATGATTGCTAAAATACAAAAATATAAGTGAAATTTCTTCTTAATTCTAAGTACAGTGATACCTCGGTTCTCGAACATAATTCGTTCCAGGAGGACGGTCGAGAACCGAATTGTTCGAGAACCGAAGCAATGAAAGCGTGACTCCACAAAGCGTGACTCTCTCTCTGCACTCACACTGATGACGCAAGCAAGGCGCGCTGGGCCGAATGAACGCCATTTGGCTCAACTCGGCTCATCTCGGAAGTTCGAGTTCCAAATATTTGTTCGGATTCCGAGACAAAAGTTTCTCGAATCCCGATTTGGTCGAAAATCGAGGCGTTCGAGAACCGAGGTATCACTGTATCAGATATAACCACTACTAATGTTTGATTTATATACCTCTAAGACCATTATTTTTTTCATATAGATATGTAAATAAATGCACAGAAATACATATTATTAAGTACATTGAATCAGTATTATATTATTTAGTAGTCCATTTTTTACTTAATAAATCATGCATATCTTTTCATGTCAAATACATAAAGATCTTTTTTATTCTTTTTAACAATGCATAGTATTCCATTATATGTACCATAATTTATTTACCCAGTTTCATGTTTGCAGACTTTTAGTTTCTTTCTAATTTGAAGCCATTGTAAGCAGTCATTCAGTAGATGTTCTTGACATTTTTGCACACTTCCTCTATTATTTTCATAGGATAAACTTCTAGAAGCAGAATGTTATTTTAAAGAGTATTGCTAGTTGTTCTTTAAAAAGACTGTTTCAACTTTTATAGCTTTGGTATTTGAAAATACTCACTTCCCCCAAACCTATCAATACTGGCATTTTCTTTGCCTACTTTTAGACATTATTTCTCATTTCTGCAACAATATTATAAAGTAGATATTGGCTTATTCACCTTAGAGATTAAAAAAGCCCCTGAGACTCCAGGAAGAAACTTGCCCAAGATCACAGAACATGTCAGTGACGGTGGTAGTGTTCGAGCCAGCTCTTTATGGCTTTAAAAAAGGTGGTTTCTCAACGTACCTGGGCTAATAAAGTCATTTTTATCTAACAAAATGTACTTTAGTCTCATCTACATTTGCTAAGCTCACTGTCCCCCGTCTTGCCATTGACATTGTATTTTATGACCTCCCAGGATCACTGGGCTAAGAAAACATGGCCATCTGTTCACTCTCTAAGGCTGTTCCCTTGGGTGTTGACCACAGTTTTAGCACATGTAGAAAAGCTGTTGATATTGTTTGTGGTTATTAGATCCTCACCTGGAGAAGGGCAAGGGAGAGCCTTCTTTCATTTACTACTTAAGAGTTTTTCTATATAACCCCTTTTTAGCAAGGTGACTTGGGTTTCCTTCTCAGTGCAAGGTTGGAACGTTGAGGCTAAGGAAATAAGGGATTGTAGTGGGAAGGAAATAGGGGAAGAGACAGTTGTGATATGAAGAAATGCAGCCAGTGGGCAAAATCTCCTTCAGCTTTATAAATGATTTTTCTCTCATCCTCCAGGAGAACCAGTCAAGACATCCATTCAAGAATCAGGAGCATTTTTGCCTTGGGTACGTAATAAATGGTCTGCTTTGGTATTGTACTGTCTGCACAATATCTGTGGATAACACTGGCTTCTTTAAAAATATCTGTTCATTAACAATTTTCTGTGTCAATAATAGGATTTTGAGAGTGCTTTTTGTTCTGAGTACTCTTTTAAAGGGGAACTGTGGATGTAGCAAAGAGAAAGGTATTGAAGTGAATTGCATTAGTGAACTTGGAATGCAGGAGAATTCCAAAGAGGCACTTCTCTTTTCAGCCGAGTGATTACTGAACATGTATGTCAGGAAGCAGTGACACGGAACCTTGACTTGTTCTGACTTTCGCTTTGGCTGATAGTCTCTTCTCTGTAAGGAGAGACAATAGAAGGCTTCCTTTTGTACTAGTTTGGAAAGATATCACTTGTACAAACTCAGGTTACTGAGAAAAGATGGAAAACATGCGATCCATCTTTTCTTTCTGTTTCACATTATTTTTATTCTGCAGAGCTAAGACACCTGTAAAGAGACTACAATTCTCATTAAAATTAAATAAAAACTGCAACAGTTTGTTGTCTTAAGCTCATTACCTGAATAGAGGAAAAAGTTGATAATAGTGGGAACTGTCGACAATGATGACTTCAGGTTCTGTCTACTGACTGACTTACCTGCCAAAGGGATGTTTAAGAAAATCCAGAAGAAAAGATGGTCTGTTGGTGAGACCTTGCAGAAATAGCTGTATTCAGAGTTTTTAACAACCCCTGCTTTGTTTTCCAGCACATACCGGAAGAGAGATACAGGATGCAGAGCAAGCCCTTAGGAATCTGCCTGATAATTGATTGCATTGGCAATGACACAGGTAGGTGTGGATGCTGCAGACTAATGCTCCACAATGAGATCACTGCATGTTAGTCAGCGTGATAAACACTAGCTGCTGTAACAAACCACTGCCAAAACCAGTATGAAGGGGAGTTTCTCATTCATGTCATAGTCTAGTGTGGATTGGGCTAAGACAGTGATTTTCAACCAGTGCTGAAGTTTTAAAACTCTTTTCCCTTAGATTGTCAAATTAAAAAATTATAACAGCCAACACAACAATAGCCGTTTGGTGTGAATGAATAAAAATTATACCTATTTATTTTGTCAGATTGGCAAAAAATATATTTTTTGGTGTGTCGCAGAATTTTAGTAATTAGTTTATGTATGTCTGGAAATGAAAAAGGTTGAAAACTGTTGGGCTAGGGGGAACTTTGTTCCATGTGGTTGATTAGTGGCTTCATCCTCTGAGGCCCTGGAATTTTCCACAGGATCCTCTATAGCTGGCTGGTGGATGAAGGAAGTGCATGATCTCATACATTTGGGGACCAGGCCTCAAAGTGGAATGCAACATTTCCACCCATATTTCACTGGTCAGGACTTACTCATGTGGCCCCATCTAACCCCAGTGGACAAGGAACTCAGTCTAGCTGTGTATCAGGAGAAAACCGAAAGGGGATTAGGAGAAACTCAGAGCATTTTGTCTGGCACAAAGGTGCAATTTGTGAAAGTAGGTGAGCTTTAGTCTTGTCTTTCCATGCTGGATGCTGCAGCAGGGAGGGGTCCTGGGACCCAGGGCACATTTAAAATGGAAGGTTTTCTGCCCTGGCCAGTTTGGCTCAGCAGTTACAGCATCGGCCTGTGGACCAGAGAGGCCCGGGTTCCGTTCCCACTAAGGGCATGTACCTTAGTTGCAGTTTGTCTCCAGCCCCAGTTGGGATCGTGTGGGTGGCAGCCACTCAGTATATCTCTCTCATATTGATGTTTCTCTCTCTCTCTTCCTCCTTCTCTCCCTCTCGCTCTATCTGAGGATAAATGCAAAAATGTCCTCAGGTGAGGAAATAAATAAATAAATAAATAAATAAATAAATAAATAAATAAAATGGAAGTTTTCTGGCTCCGGTGTTCATTTCACCCAGATAAAACATGAAATATGATGGTTGTGTGTCCTCTTAGAGCAGTGGTTCTCAATCTTCCTAATGCCACAACCCTTTAATACAGTTCCTCAGCCCTGGCTGGTTTGGCTCAGCGGTTGAGCGTCGGCCTGCACACCAGAGTCCTGGGTTCAGTTCCCACTAGGGGCACGTACTAAAAAAAAATACAGTTCCTCATGTTGTATGTGGGCGGAACCGCCTGGAGATGTATAGAGGAGCAGTGTCGGTTCCTAAGACCATCGGAAATATGTGTTTTCTGATGGTCTTAGGTGACCCTGTGAAAGGGTCGTTCGACCCCCAAAGGGGTTGTGACCCACAGGTTGAGAATCGCTGTCTTAGAGGCAATGTGCCACTTGGTTCTGTCACCCTGCACTATGGTTGTTGCCTGAACTGTGGTTGTTGCCCTGAGTCTATGCTGTCTGTGTCACCATTGTTTGGGTCTGAATGGACTCTTGCCCAGTTGTTGCTGGATGTCTGACTCCATTGAGATCAGTCACAGATGATGCATCAAAAGAGAATGAGAAGAATCTAGATAAGTGGAATAACATTATGTTTAATTATTTATCTCTTCTTTAAAAGGATTGATCATTGTTTCCTTTCAGCTTTCCAACATTATCTTAGAATATCTCTTACACTCACTTCAAATGTTACCATGGTGAGAGATTTATGGGGAGAGAATGTAACAGAAGATCAGATTAGCAAATATTAGGCTGGATGTCCCAAAATTTCACATATGATTTCACTTCCTCATGTCCTATTTTTGGCGAGATGTGAGACATGCTCTTTCCTCAGCTATAGATAAGTGTCCTTTCTTTTCTAATCATTAGTACTGTTATACGTATGAGAAACTATTTTCTCAATGACTAATTTCCTGCTTTAAAGGAGACTGTGTAATGAATGGTCTTCTACTTTCTCTTTTAATCAGTTCTGTTTCATTCATTAGAGTTCCCAAGAGCACATGGCATAGGATATATATATCTGTTGTATAAAGAGAATTATAAACATAAAGCCTTGATCTGCTGTGAATTTGTGACTGAAATCCATTGCCTGAGCTTGTTGCCCTTGCTGGGTTATGGGCCTCTTGCCAGCAGGGACTGAACGTGTATTTGTATGTTTCCATATTTCAGAAGCATGGTTAGAGTTGGGTCCTAGAATATGACTACATGGAAGTGAACCATGGCTCTGCCATGTTCTAGCTTGTGTCCTTGGACAGTTGCCCTCTCTATATCTCAGTGTCTCTTCTGTAAAGTGGGTTAAAGCAGGACCTACCTTATAGGAAGGTTGGGAGGAGTGAGTGAGTGAGTGAAGGGCTTGGAGTGGTGCCTGCACACTGTAAACCCGAACCTAAGGCCAGCTAACATTCTTTCCCCAATTTGTTTGTTTAATTTTAGTTGCAAACCACTAAGCTAGAACTTGCATGGCCTTGTGCATGGTACATGGAGTCTGATCCCAGACGAGTGAGGGACTAGAGAACTGGGAACCTGAGGCCTGGGCTGGGCTGAGTGAGGCAGGTCCCCACAGGCTGGAGCTAAGTGGAATGGAGGAGATATACTTGAGAGGCTGTGACTTCTGAGGAAATATGCAGGTGGAAAGCCAGGCAGACCACTCATCCCAGTCATCAGTATGAATGGGTTTGGCAGAGAAAGAGAACCTGAATACCAAGGCCAGGGTGGGTGAGGGAGGGTGGGAAGACCAGTTTAGAGAGAGAGATGGAAAGGAGGGTAGAACTGGAGGTGGAGCCTATGGTATTTGTGTCTTTGGCCTGAGGTATGAGCAGGTATTGGTCTCTGGTGCATTTGTATGTTTGCTTCCTTGACTCCACCCCTCCTGCCTTTGAGAACAAAACAAATAACAGGGCTTGAGGCCTATTATATAACCCCTCCTGGGCTCAGGTGGCCAATTAACAGGTAAGAAACAAGACAGCACTCTTCACTCCCATTATGCTGTGGCTTTTATCTGCTGAGGGTTCCTGAATCCATCGTAAGCCCAGCTGAGACAGAGCAGCTGGAGAGTGTTAATTAAAATGAAGTGGAAGGTACTGTCTCTTCTCACACCTCTCTAGGCCTCTAGCTCTGCCTTTGCCAACTCTCCTCCTGGGGGCTTTTCAGTGAGGCCTGGAATCCTGCTTTAGCTAACTGCCATCTTCATCAGGCCCAGCACTTCCATTTCTTCACTTCCATCTGAGCAGCAACCGGAGCTTCCTCTAGACTAGAGTGATTGTGTGGGGTTTCCTTTGTCTCTTGCCTAGTTAACTTTGTCATGTTGTTAACACTGAACATTTGAGAAAATTGTAGGAGTCTGGTAATAAACATTATTGCCAACCAAGACAAGGGATCTGAAAGAAACTAACAGTAATATGACGTAAGACTAACTTGGGAATGGTAGTGATCAGAATTTAAAATTTATTAAAAATCTATGTGCCAGTTACTTTGCTAATTCCTTTACATGGATTCTCACTTTATCCTCATAAATAATACTGTAAGATAGGTACTAGTACCCCCATTTTCAAAGTGAGAAAGCAGAGTACAATGAACTTCCTTCCTAACTTCTCTAGTAACAGACAGAACTGGGATTTGAAAACTTGACTTCAAAGCCTCTGCTCTTAGCTACTTTGTTATAATGTAAGTTCCATGAGAGTGGGGAGCTTGTCCATCCCTTTTACTGTGCCTCCAGTACCTGGAACAGTGCCTGGCACATTGGAGCCCAATAAATAATTTGGTGGGTAATGAATGAAGGAATAAACTCTTCTAATCTCAGTGTATTTCTAAAACCATTCCTTCATATCCAGAATTTAGCAGACTCTCATATATCTATCTACCTGTCTTCTGCCCTCAAAGTTGAGACTTACCCAGAGGGTTTGCATGTCCCCAAAATATTTATAGGTTTATTCTTCCTTTATCTTATAAATGTTTATTGAGTACCTACTATATGCAAAACACCATGCGTGGCCCTGTGTGAAGCCAATGTGGAGGCAATGATGTACCACCATCTGGTCTCAGAGCCACACTGTGAACTAAGATAAGGTGATTTTTTTGGTGGCTTGTTCTTGAGAAGAATCCTTATGGAGATCAGTAAGCTCTTCTTGGCGCAGACATGGAGGCTTGTTTTGGGGCTAATTATTTCAGTTTGGTAGAATTAAAAAACAAATCCTGGCCCTGGCTGGTTTGGCTCAGCAGTTAGAGCTTTGGCCCTCGGACCAATGAGTCGCGGGTTTGATTCCGGTCAAGGGCACGTACCTTGGTGGCAGCTTGTTCCTAGCCCTGGTCGTGTGGGAGGCAGCTGGTAGATGTGGCTCTATCACATCGATGTTTCTCTCTCTCTCTCTCTCTCTCTCTCTCTCCCCCCCTCCCTCCCTCCCTCTCTCCCTCCCTCTCTCCCTCCCTCCCTCCCTCCCACTCTAGCTGATCATAGGTAGAAAAATATCCTCAGATGAAGAATGAAACACCAAAAAAATAAGTATTAGTGTTGAGTCACCTGTCAGTGACCTTGCAAAGCTAGGCCTTTGCCAGGCCCTGAGTCATGGAGTGGAGAAGTAAATGTCTCATGTCACAGACAGATGAACTGTTGGTCTTGATCTAAAGCTCTGGTTAGTTTGTAGACTCCTGGATAAAATATTTTAAGAAATGTTTCTTTCTCTCTCTTTTCTCCATGGCTCTTCTGAAAAGCTTGAAGATTTTTCTGTACTTTTTAACCAGGCAAATACTTCAATTTTTCTAGCAGATGCTGCATACTTCCTTGTACATCTTGAGTAAGTAAACTTCCCCTTCTAATAGAGCAACAAGAGATGCGAAAGCCAGAGGTCGTTTGTGAAATGCCTTGTGGGTGGTGCTGACCCTTCACTAACAGCCTGGTACTAACTGTTTGACCAGAAGAAAACTCCCCTCATTTCAGAAAGCTGGTTTCTGCAGAACAATTCAAGTTTACAACAATAGGGCTGGGTCAGGAGTGGAATTTCCAGGGCAAGTAGAATGAGAACAGCAATTTGCTGATGTCTTATTTTCCAATCAGCCTCCAAGTTTTTCTTCCTCTATTTGTGGGACGAGGCAGTTAGAGAGCTATATAAGGAGAGAGACTGCTCAGATCCCATTTTAGTTTCAGACAGAGAGACCTTTCTCTGGGTTCTAAGGAGGTGGCTTCCGTGAGAGAGATGCATTGCTGCTCTGTGACTTGTGATTTGAAATGCCTGCCTTTATTTCCTTTAAAATTATTACCTTATATTTATAAGCACTCACAGTTTACAAAGCATCTTGACAGAAACCTCACTGGATCCCCACAGCCACCTTTTGAAAATCATAATATGGGCATTAGTATTAATCCTATTTTATAGATGAGCAAATTAAGGCTGTAACTTATTCAAAGTCATGCTGTGACCACTCCCTTGATCCTATAAATTAGACTGGGCTATCTCCATGTTCTTGCTGGCTGCAGTTCCCAGCTAACATCAGTCACCACGCCACCTCACGGTGTGATAGAGAAAAGACATGGTATTAATGGGAAACAGCTGCAATGACGTCGGGCTGGTTTCTTGAGTGACTGTCTTTCCAGAGGAATATTTAAAGGAGGCTCCATCTTGCTCTGAGGCCCATCCAGATTTGACATTCTTATTTTCCTGTTCTCAGCACTGGGGTTCTGTATGGTTTGGGGCTAAAACCTCCAGTTTTAACCTTTTTTTCTCTCTGGTTCTGTTAGGTAAAGACTTCCTGCCCTGACCCTAGTTTCCCATTCCCTTCTTAGCCCCTCTTCTGGTGTAAATTAGGCCTTTTCTAGGACTAGGCAAAGTTCAGAGCCAGCAAGTAGGGTGAGGAGCCAGGACTTAAAGTCAGATCTTGTGATTCTGAGACTAGTTCCTCTTTTGCCCCGTGCCACACAGCTGCCTACTTACTGCCATGCGAAAGCTGCTGCTCTGGCAGGAACCCCCAGGGAGCCCAGATAAAAGAAAGAGATGGAAGGCACCTGACAGCATTTGTCCTGTCCTGACTATACCCCTGCATATCAGCATGGAAGGAGAGACTATAGCTTTCTTTTTTTGGGTATGTGTCCCTAGCGGGAACCGGGACTCTCTGTTCTGCAGGCCAATGCTCCAACTGCTAAGCCAAACCGGCCAGGGCAGAGACTATGGCTTTCTTTCAAGGACTTTGATAAAGGATGAAATCTTTCAGTGCGGAGAGGGTTTGAAAGGCATGAACCATTCTGAGCTAAGTAAACAAAGCTTTGAGACTGGTGTTTCCCCATTTGCTTCTGCCCCCTAGAGGAGAGACTACTCCATGATTAGAGATATGTGCATCTCAAGTCATGTTTATTGCCATTTCCTTTTCCTGAAAGGAGAGATCAAAGGACTTAGCTGAGGAATTATTTATCTAATAATGTGTACAAATCACTCCAAAATTTAGTGGCTTAGAAGAATAAGTTATGTGGGTCAGGAATTTCTGAGTGGATTGCTGGCTGTTCTGGCCCAGAGTCTCTCAGGAGGGAGTGGTCAGATGTCAGTGAGGGTGGTCAGAGGCTCCAGTGGGATCACAGGATCTTCTCAGGCTCACTCATGTGGCTGGGGAGTGGGTGTAAGGCTTTTTTCTTCATGTGTGCTCCTCCATGGGACTGCTTGAGTGCTCTTAGGACATGGCAGCTGGCTTCCCCTAGAGCAGGGGTTCTCAACCTTCCTAATGCCACGACCCTTTAATACAGTTCCTCATGTTGTAAGTGGGCATATCTGCATGTGGGCGGATCCGCCTGGAGACCGATAGAGGAGCGGTGTTTTCCAATGGTCTTAGGTGACCCCTGTGAAAGGGTCGTTCGACCCCCAAAGGTGTCGCTACCCACAGGTTGAGAACCGCTGCCCTAGAGTGAGCAGTTCAGAAGAGAGAAAGAACCAGGTGGAAGTCAAATCCTTTTTGGGATCTAGCTTTGGAAGTCACAGTATCCCTGCTGCCACATTCCATTCATTAGAAGCGAGTTGCCAAGTGTGGTCCACATTTAAGGGGAGGAAATTACTCTATCTTTTTAAGGTAGGAGTATCAAAGAATTTGTGGACATATTTAAAACTGCCGTATCTGGTATGATGTGGGGCCACAGTTAAGCCCAGCTCTCCTGAACGGAAAGTTCTCCTAGACCCTATGTGAATGTGTCTGGATACTGCTCACAGGCTGTGTGAATTAAAGTCAGAGCACTCGACCAGCTCTTAGTTATCCAGTGGCTGTTAGTCCAGCTTTTCATTTACCCAAGGCTGTGTTTCTTTTTCCTACCTTTTGTCTTTTTCTTATTTCCTGCTGAGAAGCCAGAAAAGAAATTGCCATTGCTTACTTTCACTTTTATATTTTACTTGTGGTCGGTAAAGTTTTCAGAGCAGAAAGTGAAAACTATTGGTTGAAGCTGCTAGTCTTTGAAGTATTTGTAACTATCCAGACTTCACATTATTCCCATTTAGTGTAGAGAATTGAGAATTTGTTGTAAACAGTTATGGGGAAACTTCAGTTATGTATCTTCCCTTGATGCTTTTCTGTGATGCCCAAACTAATAGGAGATGGGACCCTCTTTGTTTTTTGGTGGAAGTTTTATCTATTCTAATTACTGTTGTGTTGTTTGATTTGGGGTGAATGCAGTGGTAGGCTTCTGGAAGACCAATCCCCATGGGAAGAAGAGAGGTGAGCACATAGTCATAGACATGGAGACAAACCCAGAGAAGTTCATGGCTAATAGTTTGGATTACAGCCTGGATTAGGAGATGCTTGTTTAGCCTCTGGGCTTAGGACAGTATAGTTTTCTGCCCAGCAAATGAACTAAGAACTGAAGACATCTCTCAGACAAGAAATAGAAACTTAATGGGTGGCTCAAAAGAATGTGGAATTTTTGAGTGAGAAGAGATGTCTCTCTTTGCTATTAGAAAGATAAAACCATTCAGGAGCCTGTGTTTATTTCTCCAATGAAGGTAAACTGAGCAGATAGAAAAGAAATGACCTGGGTAGAGTATGTAGGGTTCCAAGGCCATAGAAACTTCTAGAATATGGACACAAAGATTTTAAAAAAAGAGAATAGGAACTAATTTTTATTGAACACCAGGAGCTTTATTTGTATTATCTCATTTAATCCTCACAGGTTCTCATAGGGTGGTCCATCACTTCCATTTAAAGATAGGAAGACCCACTTCCTAAAGATCAGGCTGCCCATAGGTGTGGCAAGGCCAACAGACTCCAAGCCTGCTTTTCCTACTTGCTTCCACTGCTCCTGGAGCCCAGGTCAACCCAGGATTCCTGCAAAGTAAGAGAAGACTCTTTGGGGATAGTGTAGGAAATCTTGGCCATAGGTTCCCACTGCTTAGTCAGAGGTTATACTGGGAAGCAGGTCATGAGAGGAACTGGAGAGTCTGGAAATGGTTACAACTTATATCTTAGGGGCCTTCATAGCTTCCCACAGCAGGTGGAAGTGAGGGGACTCGTGACCCATGCCACCCTTTCTGCAGCTGTTTGCATCTAGGTCTGGATCCAAGCTTTGCACATGTATTCATCCCTATGTACTTGTCTATTTTTTTCCCCCAGAGATTCTTCGGGACACCTTCGCTTCCTTGGGCTATGATGTCCAATGTTTCTCATATCTGACTATGAACGATATAATTTGTATTCTTCGCAAAGTTGCCCATATGCCTCAACACCAAGACTACGATAGTTTTGTGTGTGTCCTGGTGAGCCGAGGGAGCTCCCAGAGCGTGTTTGGTGTGGATCAGACTCACCCAGGATTCCCTTTGGATCAGATAAAGAGGATGTTCATGGGAGACAGGTGCCCTTCTCTCTTAGGAAAGCCAAAGCTCTTTTTTATTCAGAACTATGTGGAGTCAGAGAGCCACCCAGAAGAATGCAGCCTCCTGGAGGTGGACGGGCCAGCAGTGAGCAGTACGGATTCCAAGGCAAGGCAGCCTGGGTTCTGCACAGTTCACCGAGAAGCGGACTTCTTCTGGAGCCTGTGCAAAGCAGATGCGGCTCTGCTGAAGAGGCCCTCCACCTCACTATCCCTGTACCTGCAGCGCCTCTCCCAAAAACTGAGGCAAGAAAGGTGAGCCGCCCAGGCCATGGCTAATCCTTGGACCACTTATTTTCCTGCTACTGATATGGAGGTTCCCACTGCCATGCTTGATGTCCTTCTTAGCGGAGAGGAAAGGGGACTTTTCACTCTCCATCGAGGTTGCCTTAGGAGTATGATACAGACCCTGCAGTGTATGAACACTTTGTGCTTTAGGAGGTCACTTATTTGCCAGCTTATAGTTTGGATATTTTTCTTCAAAACTGAGACATTTTATTGTTATTTTTTTCTTACTACAAAAGTGATACATATATATATATATTTTTTTCATCCTCACCCGAGGACATTTTTCTATTTTTTGTTCAGATAGAGCGGGAGGGAGAGAGAGGAAGAGAGAGAGAGAGAAACATCGATGTGAAAGGGACACATCGAGTGGCTGCCACCCGCACGACCAACCAGGGCCGGGGACAAACTGCAACCGAGGTACGTGCCCTTAGCGGGAACCGAACCCGGGTCTCTCTGGACCGCAGGCCAACGCTCTAACCGCTGAGCCAAACCAGCCAGGGCGATACATATTCTTTATTGAAAAAAAATAGATCCTGAAAACAGAACATAAGACATTATGCTCCTACTTTTTTTCTTTTTAAGAAAGTGATGACAGTATTACAGATGTCCCCCTTTTTTTTTTCTTTTTGCCCCCTTCTACCCCACCCCAGGCCTTTCCCACACTATCATCTGTGTCCATGGGTTGTGCATATATACATATATGTTCTTGGGATAATATTTTCTTATATATATATACTCCTACTTTTAGAACAAACCTCTGTTGACCAAATCTTGGTATATTGCCTTCCAGATCTTTTTTGGATACTCATACACTCATGTATTAATATTTTATAGCCAAAATAGAATCATCATCTACTATTACTTTATAATCTGCTTTTAGTTTGTTCAATAGTACATCACAATTTTTACGTCAGTAGTACATCACAATTTTTATGTCAGTAGTCACATTTCTACAGCATTTTCTGAAACATCAATTGGCTGCCTCTTGCATTGTGCCCTAACTGGGGACTGAACCTGAAACCTGAGTATGTGTCCTGATCAGAAATCGAACCTGAGACCTTTCAGTGAATGTGATGGGTGCTCCAATCAACTGAGCCACATCAGCCAGGGCTCTACAGCATTGTTTTAATGTCTGCAGAGTAACCCATGATATGGTTATAGCATAATTTACTTGACCAATCTTCCAGTCAGTGGACTGTGTTTTGCTTTCACAAAAAGAAATTGTTAACATCTTTGTAGCTCACTATTTGTGTTGATCTTTACTTGTTTTCTTGGGAGTATTCCCAGAAGTGGAATTACTGTGTCAAACAACATACATTTTTAAAGCCTTTGATGTGTTTTCTCAGATTGTGCTTCAATACAGTTAGACCAGCTTTGTCTGAGAGTACCTGGGTCCCTGAGTTCTCATCGACACTGCATACTCTTATATTATATAGACATTTTTTATATTTATTGGCAAGAGTACTTTTCTAAGGGAAACATTGGTGATCAGGTTTCCGCTTAAGTTAAATGAAGCCGCACTGTACCTCAAATGTAAGATTAGAAGTCTTTTTTCAGGTACCGTTACAATTTACAATGATGTTTCTGAGCCACCTGTGAAATGCATTCTGTTGTACACTGGGGACCCCAGGAATAGATATCGTGGCCTGTGACCCCCAACCCCTCAGTGGTGGTTCAGCAGTGACTCCATTTTTCAAGGTGGACAGTTGGTGGGCCAGTGGTATTATTGGCCTTTTACATGCATCCTGCATTTGGATCACTGTTTGGCTGGTGTATCTCCAGAGTAAGACTCAGTTGCTCCTTGGGCAAGGGGATTGAAGTCACTAGGCCAGAGTGCTGCAAGCTGATTTGAATCACTCATTAAGCAGCTTGTAGAAGCAACACTTCCAAAGCACTTTCACATCAGTTGGCTCATTTCACCCTAATGACAATCTGTCTCCTCTTTGATGTTTGCATGTCACGAATTTTTGCCTTTCTTTTTACCTCCAGAAGGCGGCCACTTCTGGAACTCCACATTGAACTGAATGGCAGTGTGTACGACTGGAACAGCAGAGTGTCTGATAAAGAGAGGTACCACGTCTGGCTGCAGCATACTCTGAGAAAGAAACTCATTCTTTCTTATACATGAAAAGCCAAAAACTTTTAAAAAAACTTATTGACGCCCTGGCCAGTTTGACTCAGCGGTTAGAGCGTCAGTCTGCGGTCCGGAGAGACCTGGGTTCGTTTCCCGCTAAGGGCATATACTACTTCGGTTGCCGTTTGTCCCTGGCCTTGGTTGGTCGTGCGGGTGGCAGCCACTCGATGTGTCCCTTCACATCGATGTTTCTCTCTCTCTCTCCCTTCCTCCCTCTCCCTCCCACTCTATCTGTACAAAAAATGGAAAAAATATCCTCGGGTGAGGATAAAAAAATAAATAAATAAATAAATAAATAAATAAATAAATAAATAAATAAATAAATAAAAAACAAAACAAAAAAAATTACTTGAGAGAAACATTGGTATGAGGGACTTTGGGGGGCGGCTGAGCCAAGGTCTCTTGTTGCTCCTGTGGTGTTTGCAAAGCTCACCTGGGAACAAGGCCCTGTGGTGTTTGCACGGCTCACCCGGGAGCTTTCTGCCCAAGCCCACTTGTTGATCCTGGGTGCTGGCAAGGCCCATGCAGGAACATTCTGCCCAAGGTCTCTTGTTCCTGTGTGCTGGCAAAGCCTACTCAGGAGCCTTCGGAACCACGGGCAAGAATGTATCGACAGTCTGGACCTTGAACTCAGAGGCAAGTGAAAACATATTTAAAAATAATGCCCTGGCCAGTTTGGCTCAGAGATTAGAGCATTGGCCTGTGGTCCAGAGAGACCCGGGTTTGCTTCATGCTAGGGGCATGTACCTCGGTTGCAGTTTGTCCCCAGCCCTGGTTGGGTCATGGGGGAGGAAGCCACTTTATGTGTCCCTTTCATGTCCATGTTTCTCTCCCTCCGACTCTGAACAAAAAATGGAAAAATATCCTTGGGTGAGGATAAAGTAACTAAATAATTTAGTTATTGAACTCCACCCCCTTCAACTGCTATATAATAAACTTTCTGAGCTAGGTCGGAGTCACTATTTCTCCAGAGAGCAGTGTCCCACCTGGCCCCAGCTTTTCTATCATGTCTCTGTGTCTTTCTTAGTCTCCCATCACCCCTCCTCAGGTCTGGTTCCACTCGCTGTGCAGGTCGCTACAAAGTGGCACCCGAACAGGGACCTGAGTACAGGGGAAGTTGAAGCCCTGAGGCAAAGAGACCACGTTCTATGAAGTACGCATGTTAAGAAGCAAAAGCAGCCCTGGCCGGTTTGGCTCAGCGGTTAGAGCGTCGGCCTGTGGTCTGGAGAGACCCGGGTTCGGTTCCCGCTAAGGGCATGTACCTCGGTTGCAGTTTGTCCCCGGCCCTGGTTGGTCGTGCGGGTGGCAGCCACTCGATGTGTCCCTTTCGCATCGATGTTTCTCTCTCTCTCTCTCTCCCTCCCACTCTATCTGAACAAAAAATGGAGAGGTGCCCTCGGGTGAGGATTAAAAAAAAAAAGAAGCAGCAAAAGCAAGGTAGGGGAGCAGAACTGACTGACTGATAGAATTTCCCATATTGTATACCTGACTATGTCTCAATAAAGAAATCTCTATATGTCTATGTTAAGAGCTATGATTAAGGCTCGAAGGTGCTCAGTAAAGAAATGTTAACTCCTCGAGTTTTTAGAGTATGTAAATGAAACTTGCCCTTGGTTTCCTAATGAGGGGACAGTCAACTTGGAAACCTGAGAAAAGGTCGGGAAGTGCCTGCGAGGCAGAGATACAGCGAAAGGCCTGAACAAGGTTCCAGCGTAAACATTTACTCTTTGGGCCCTAATTATAGATTGCCTTGATCCTGTGCAGGAGGCAAATAAGGAGGGGAAGCAAGGAGTAGTGAAAGACTCCGGGAAAGAAGCCGAGAAAGGCTGAGTCCTTAAAGACACCCCCACCGCCTTCCGCTACAGCTGTGAGAGAGATTAATCCCTCTGATGAGACTTTACCCCCAGAATATGAGAGGGAACTGAAAAGAGAGTCTGAACGACATCGGGGTGAAGGACACTTCCCCGAGGAAGATTCAGATGGGGACTTTAATGTTACCCAAAGTTTTACAAAATTGGCTATAATAAACAGCTTGCCTATGAAAATGCTAATAAGCCCCGCAGGGAGGCACTGTGCCCTTACTGTAAAAAGGCTAATATATCTGAATTCATCCACATGTGTTTGGATATTAGGCCTTCCCATATACAGGGGGCCGCCATCGCTGAGTCTTTGAAAGAAGTCCTCTTTGCCAGTAAGGCTGGAGGAAGCGGGAAAGGATGTTATACTTGTGGAAAGCTAGGACATGAAAGTGTTACTTGCCCTTTTTGCTGACTTGCAGACAGCTCTGGAGAAGGCTGGACTTTGTATAGCCCCTGAAAAGGTTCAGCGTTCTTCTCCCTTCTAATATTTAGATAGCATAATTGAGGGACGGATTGTTTGCCTTCAAGTCTGCAGGTGAGAACAGATTCTTTAACCACCTTAAATGACTTCCAAAAGCTGTTGGGTGACATCAATTGGATTAGACCAGCTTTAAAATTAACTGCTGACATGAGGCCTTTGTTCCAAATTTTGCAGGATGATTTATCTCCCTTGTCCCCTCAGCAGTTAACTCCTGAAGCAACAGAGGCCTTGCATAAGGTAGAATCTGCAATTCAAAATGCCCAACTGACAAGAGTAAATGAGCAACTGCCAGTGAAAGTGTTAATATTTCCTACCAACCATACCCACACTGGAGTTCTGTGGCAAAAAGGAGGAGTTATTGAATGGATCCATCTTGCTCATGCACCTGCTAAGGTGCTCACACCCTTTCATGATTTGGTAGCACAGTTGATTGCCAAGGCAAGACACCAGTTAGCTCAATTAATTAATCAGGAACCGGCTGAGATCATGGTTCCATTTACCAATTCTCAACAAAATTGGCTCTGGCAATTCTCAAATAATTGTCAAATTGCACTAGCAAACTTCCCTAATGATAGCCATTACCCAGGGGACAAGATTTTACAGTTATGTCTACCACTGCATTCATTTTCTCTAAGGTAATACAATCTCAACCCATTCCCCAGGCTTTAACAGTTTTCACTGACGGGTCTAGCTCAGGGCAAGCTGGCTATTACTGCAACAGGAACTCTAAGGTATTTCAGACCAAACACTCATCAGCCCAAAGAGTGGAAATTCAGGCTTTAACAGCAACCCTTGAGGCTTTTGAAGATGAACCTTTAAATATATAAAGTGATAGCAGTTATGTAGTAGGAATGGCTAAGGTCATCAAAACCGCCGCAATTGGGCATATGAGTAGTAAAGAGTTATATCATCTATTTACTAAACTAAGGGAAATCATCCGGTCACAAAAACACCCATGCTATATCGGCCATATTCATGCCCACTCTGGACTCCCAGGACCTTTAGCTGAAGGGAATGATGCTGTTGACTGCTTGCTGGTGCATGCTACAATTTCCACTCCTCTAGCCTTAGCCCAGCATTCTCATCCTTTGCACCATCAGAATGCAGGAACGCTGCATAAAGAGTTAAAAATCTCTAGAAAGCAGGCTAGGCAAATAGTAAAACAATGCCCAGCCTGTGTCATTCATCTACCAGTATAGTCATCTGGGGTTAACCGTCGAGGATTAAAACCAAATCAAATTTGCCAAATGGATGTGACTCACATTCCTGAATTTGGGAAGCAGCACTGGGTGCATGTATCAGTTGATACTTTCTCCCATTTCATTTTTGCAACAGTTCAGACTGGGGAGAGTGTTAAGCATGTTATTAACCATTGTCTGGCCGCTTTTACTCGACTGGGGAAACCCCAAGAAATAAAAACTGACAATGGGCCAGCTTACACCAGTTCTGCCTTTAAAAAATTTTGCTTGCAATATGAAATTCGACATAAAACAGGAATTCCTTAAAACCCTCAGGGGCAAACAATAATAGAAAAAGCAAACAACTTTAAAATTATGGGTACAAAAACAAAAAGGAGAGATATAGAATACACTCTTACTCCCCAGAATCAACTGAACCATACCGCATATACTTTGAATTTTATTTATTTATTTATTTATTTATTTATTTTTTTAATCCTCACCCGAGGACATTTTTCCATCTTTTGTACAGATAGAGTGGGAGGGAGAGAGAGGAAGAGAGAGAGAGAGAAACATCGACGTGAAAGGGACACATCGAGTGGCTGCCACCCGCACAACCAACCAGGGCCGGGGACAAACTGCAACCGAAAAAATATGGAATGCTTCACGAATTTGCATGTCATCCTTGGAATTTTTTAAATTGTGATGCCAGCGGCCTTACTGCTGCTGAGCACCATCAGGTGACCCAGCTGCAGGCTTCAGCAGGGCTTGCCCACTGGAAAGACTTGCAGTCAGGTAAGTGTGGTTGGGGCAAATACCTATTGGACTTATTTCCTGGACCCTCCTGTGGCAAATCCAGCTACTTGGGATGGAGGGTCTGTACCTATTTTCACTAATGATTCAGCAAAGATGGGTAGAAATTATGACCAACATTTTACACTCTAATTATACTTATTTTGGCTTCAGTGTAGACCCTCCAATCTGTCTGTCCTGTGCAGGCAGGTATGGGTGCCTGCTTGTTAAACCTGAGAATAAAACATCTTATGGAGGCACCAACATTGCTGACATTACGGGGTCCATAGGATATGAAGAAATATAGACTGTGACTAAACTAGGGTTTCCCTATAACACCCAGGTTGTACCTTATCAGCGTCCTTCACTCCCTTATTGCCCTAACAGGACAACCCTTCAATTTAGGGGTTTTCCCCAATGGCAGGATTTTGCAAACCCTATCCCTGTTAGCATCAATATTACGGGTTCAGGATTTTCATTATTAGACTGGTCTCATAGATTAGACCCTAAACACTAATTATGACCTCATGTCCCCTGGGGGCTTTGTAAGTAACATCTTTACCACCCCTAAGGGTTAAATGCAGAAGGATCTCTGGCAATTAGCCACTGCACTGGATTTTATGAATTATTCTGACTCTTTTTTGGCAAACATTGCTATGGCCTGTCGCCCCACTAATCTTTTATGGGTTGTGGGCTTGTGTGCAGGCCCCTTATGTGATTGTGACAGGCTCTGTAAATATTACTAAGCTTCCCACACACCATTCTGTCTCAT